TCAGTGGTATGAGAGGAGTTAAGTGCTTAAGAGATAGGTATCCCAAAACGTAACAGACGGACGGACGGACGGACGGAAATACCGATTACTATATACCCTCCCGCTTTTCAAGCGGGGGGGGGGGTATAATTAATACCTACACAACAGGAAATGATGCACATCAAACAAGATAAGGAAGGAATGTGAAAAATCATTGAAATCTGTGTATAGATCAATGTTACGTATGTTTTCATTCATACAATTTATGATTATTGAACAATATTTGAAGAGCGTATCATGCTGTGTCGGGAAACGTTATTGTTGTTAGTTTTAAAAACAATTTGTTTTGTTAAACTATTAATGATTTAGCGAGAATGTATTTATTTACGCTCTGATTTATCTTTTGGGCGTCGGAAAGGGTAAAAAACGTTAATGCAAAACTAACAAGCAAATTCAAAGAATTGTGGTCCCCCGCTTTCGGTGTCTTTTTGGGTGAGATGTCATTTTTTTAAATGACATTTTGTGTCTAATATGAACGCCCTATCATGAGTCATCTATTTAGAAATTATCACTGAACTCCAAGGTCAAGGTCAAAGGGTTAACGTTCTTAGTGTCAGATGAAAAGACTTTTTAAAAGGATAACATATTTGAAGAATGAAAGCCCTAGCCCTTACCATTCAAAAGTTATAGTCAAGGTTAAAGTTTTCTCAAAAGTACAAAAAATCTCTGAGTTCAAGGTCAAAAGGTGAAGGTTGTTGGTATCAAATGAAAGGTCTTGCCACAAAAAATACAAATATGAAGTATGAACGTCCTGGTATTTACTGTTTTAAAGTTGTAGCGAAGTTCAAAGGTTTTGAAAAGTAGGTCAAACTCCAAGGTCAAGGTCCAAGGGGCAAAGTTCTTGTTATTCAATGAAAGGTCTTCTCACAAGAATTATATACATGAAGTATGAAAGCCCTAGCCCTTACCATTCAAAAGTTATGGTCAAGGTTAAAGATTTTTCATAAGTATTGAAATCTCCAAGGTCAAGGTCAAAAGGTTAAAATTGTTGGTATCCAATAAAAGGCCTTGCTACAAAGAGTACATATGTGAAATATGAAAGCCCTAGTACCTACCATTCAAAAGTTATGGCCAAAGTAAAAGTTTGGAATTTTTGTGTAAAAGTGGGTCAAACCCCAAAGTCAAGATCAAAAGGTCAAATGTGGTGGTACGCAAAGTAGGTCTTGTCACAAGGTATACACATATGAAATATGAAAGTCATAGCTCTACTAAATCAAAAGTTATGAGCAAGGTTAAAGTTTTTGTGATGGACGGACAGACTGACGGACAGACGGAAAGTTAGACAGACGGACAGACGAATGAGATTTAATGTCCCCTCGCTTTCGCGAAAGCGGGGGACATATTTCATATACGTACTAAAATACAAAACAGACAACCTAAAACAAAATCAACAGACTCCGATGCAAAACCAACGATCTCCAATGCAAAACTAACAATTATTCAAAGAATTGACGCTAGATGGCGTGCAAACAACAGACATAACCTAAATTAACGCTAGATGGCGTGCAAGTTTTTCTACGTCATCATTTTTTGTGTACTTTCCTAGGAATGTAAATCCCGCAAAATGTCCAGTATCGGAGACAATTTCGCGGGATTTACGTTCCTATAAAAGTACACAAATAATGATGACGTAGAGAACTTGCGGGCCATCTAGCGTTAATTCGGGTAAAGTCTGTTTTTGCTTGGTGATCGTTGGTTTTGCATCGGAGTCTGTTGATTTTGGAAACGAGTCTGTTGATTTTGTTATAAGGTTGTATGTTTTGTATTTTAGTATGTTTATAAAGTAAGTTGTTAGTTTTGCGTTATATATTTTCTTCTTTTTTTTTACCCTTTTCGCCGCCAATTTTATCTACTATAATTATAGCTGCTAACAATCGCATCATCTTGGATCTTTCCGTAAGAGGTCGGAAAAACCTGTTTTTCCGCTAGTCGGAGAGACCCGAGAAGTTGCGATTGAGCTGCTAAAACAGTGAATAGCCTACTGAGTATCTGATTTGTTTTACTGAATTTTTTCAATTGCACGAACCAGTTCAAATATCCTAAGTTGACTTGCATATGACTTATTTTTGAAAACTATAGAACAAGTCACTTACCCCATATATTATACTCGTGTAGTTGATTTGGTGCAGATACCCAAATGGGCATGGTCATAATGACAGCTCTGGAGCTACGATCCTTCGTGTCATTATGATCACGGCACCCGGGTATCTGCACATAACCAACAATATTATATGGGGTAACTACGTGTACTACTTTTAAGTAGAGTAGCTTGTACACTGCGAATGTTAGAAATGAATTGCGCTCGATAATGAACAAGCTGCGCCATAGTCCTATGAACACAGCTGATGAGTGCAGGTTCATAGTGGGAGAAAGTATGCAAATAAATCCGTACTAAAGACGGATTTCTCAGGTCATAGACGTTCGCTGTAATTTTTCTGTGAAGTTGAAAAAGAAAACCTTCAGACGTTGATGATAATAATCGGACAAATAAGTCACAAATGTAAATATAAGTAACAATGTAAAAAAAAAATTCATCCTTTGACCTTGGAGTTTGACTTTCTTTTGAGAAACTTCAACCTTTGCCAGAAGCTGTTATACTGGGGCATCAGGGTTTCACAAACACATCTTGGTTTCACATGATTTCTGGTTCTTCGAAGTTTCCGTAGATACAACCTTATTAAAACGAAAGTTAGGTTATAAAATAGACTATGGACTATCACTGAATCTCAGAAGTCTTTTCAGTTTCGTTCTTAGTAACAGCACGCATATCACTGCTAGGTTTGTGTTACTTCTTATAAGATCTAACTAAGGAAGGTGCTATTTTGGTGAACATACATTTCAGACGAGGATTTTTATGGTTAAAACGCAATGCAGCTAAAGACTCTTAGAGGGTTATTAAATTTTCATTTCATTTTTTAATTTATAAACCGATTATTCAAAAATATTTTCACCCTAATTTGTTTTAATAAACAAATGTCAATGTAAAGAAATCTAAGACGTTTAACTCTGACATTGGATGAGGATTTGAACATCGCACTTGTAATCTGCTTAAAGTTAATGGCTTTGGCTAAAATTATTTAAAGTTTTATTTAAAATGATTTATGTTTTCAATAATGCATTTAAAAAACGATAGAACAGAGAAATAAAGGATCAAATATATCCAACATATCTAATTCAAAATTTGAATAACCCCTAAATTTGGAAACTGATTGTGGAAAATATCTTTTTTTATTTTTATGTTTAAATCACAGTGTCATTTTATCTGTACTAAATGTATGGTTAAGCTTTCGGGAAATTATTTATTTATTTATTTATTTATTTATATTTTTAAAAATTGTCAATCAAAGTATCGATATATTGTAGTTAACCTTGCAAATTATAAATATAATATTAAATATTTAAAATATATGTATCTTATAATGGGAATTCAAAGTGTATAAGAAGGCGTTTGCTGTGGTATTTGATACTCATATTTTGAACGTATTTCAATACTTATTTTGTTTTAATAGTGAACCACAATGATATTTAGAAAATATCTACATGTAAAACATTTTCTTCAATTGTCTCTTAGATTACATACTAAAAAAATATCAATTCGTAAACAAGAATTCAGTGTAATTTGTTTTCATGACTGAGAAAGAATAGACATTGAGTACACATTTTAATGAAAAAAATGTGAGGAGACGTGCGTTCAGTTTCTAGAAATTTCACATGTTTTATAAAATAAAAGACTAAATGAATTCAATGTAGTTGCTAACATAAAATTTTTCCTGAAAGAAAATTTAGTTTTCATGAGGAAAATTTAAACGCTAAATATTGGATTTTTTCAAAGTACAGAAAATATACGAGCTACTTAATCATAAACATTGAAATCAACTCAAATATACCTATACAATTTCATGTTAACCTTGAGAAACCTAGATGCAAATGTAATGTCGTACTTGTCAGATCAAATTGTACACCCTAATGAATTATCCAGCAACCTATTAAAACACCACCGGCTTTCTGTAATACGCTGCAAGAAATTAATTATTATAACGAGTATGTAAGATAAAATACGGATGGCAAGGTACTAGTATATTACTTTTTAAATAGACAACTAGAAAAGAATTAGTTAACACTGTAAATAAAACCTTTTTATTGGACCCTCTGGGTGAGGAAGGTAACATTCTATGCTGCATTAGACAGCCACAATCAACAGGAAGAGGATTATCTCGATCGGCGATATTTGATAAAACCTATCTGCTGTCCATTTTGGCTGCCAACGTTTGCACGTGCTTTGTATCCTTTTAGTGAAATGTATTGAATGTTTCTATGAAATACAAGTAATAAAGAAGCAATATCTTTATATTATAAGCAAATATGTTTATTATGTCGATTCAACAATCATGGAACACTGTTTAGTTGGTTGTAAAACTTTTGCTTAAAAAATAATCAGCTCCATCATGACATACGTAAGATTTTTCTGCTTGGTTTTCATTCTTCTGACAAGAAACATTCAATCAGAAAACATTTCCTTTGTTGCCGTCAATAAATGTCCTGTGAACAAAACAGACTGGATCAACAGGGCTAAAGCAAAAAATTGTCAAGATCCGCCTGACTATGTTTGTGCTTCTATATATAAACACCCTGGCCGCTTTGGTGAAATATGCACTAAGAGGGGCTCAATTTCATCAGGTAATTTTAAGTGGAAAATATACATACCGAATAGAAAAATTCGTCAAAATAATTATTATTTATATATGATTTTCATTGTAATGGATAACATCTCGCATTGTACAACAAAAATTACTCATTCATCTCACTCAATTCTGACCTGTATCCACTATAACAAATTGGAGGCATCAATATTCGTGAGGACCAATTTTTGAGAATTGCTTAGATTTAAATTTTTGTGGTTCTTGAAGACGTTATTTGGCGCATTTAATCATATGTACCAAAATAAAACTTTTAACCCCGTGAATTAATATTAATTCGTGGAAGATGTAAATTGGTGGATAAAGGATACCTACAAATCCATGAATGTTGAGCCACCAGTCGTCCACGATATCTAATGATTCCACAGTATATATGGTTTAAACTACAGGGAAAAAACAACAAATAAAATATGTCTTCATTACAGGATATTGCGGTGTTCTAGACAAGAATACATATAACTTTGATTACGTACCATGTCGGGCTATCCGTGGATGTCCGGATCAAGTTTATACATCAAGTGAAATTTATAAATGTGAGGAGTTTAGTTTTTCTTTAAATTTTCTTTCCTTGGATTTTCAATGGACAATTATATTTTTGAAGGAATTTAATTAATTTAGAAATGCAGAAGGATATGTTTTTATATGTATCTATTTGACTAAATGGATAAAATCTAAATATTTAAGCGTACGTTTCATACATTTTACACAAAAGAAGATATAAATGAAAAAAATTTAACAATCAAATTTATTAATAACCAAATTAAATTGCAAAACAACAGTAAGGGTTAAAGGATGTAATTACATTGTTTTATGATTTATACATCATTTAGCATAAAATTATAATAGTGTTCTTATTTTGATTAAAAAGCAGTCTAGCTTTGACACATTGTGCATTCGCCTCTTGCTCGTGCATCATGTGTCAAACCCTGACAACTATTTCGGCATAGAACATCTAAATAATGACACCATCAGTATAATTATACCCAATATGTTGTCTCTGTTTTTCAGTTCCAGTGTGTTTTGATAATTTTTATGGGTAAGGCACCATTTTTTCTATTGTTAATGAAGATTTTGGTTAATTTTTAAATCTGTACAAAAGAAAGAATATTAATTAAGTGAGCGTTTCTCATGACACACAACCCATACTTGGGTGGTTGGGGGTACCCAAAACAATGTGGTACGTACCTTTAAATTTTCTAATGATGGTGGGATTTTTTTGTATTTATTTAATATATACCAGTAGTTATTTTGCATATTTAAAGCATTTTTGTGTTTTAAAATACTGTTCTTTTTAGTAAGCCACTTCTGTCAACAAAACTCTAGTAAATATCATCATTAAGTTTTTGGGCAAAAATAAATTTATCCTTATGTTCTCAAATTTTTGCCAGTGTGTATTAGGTTATTCTCCCGGCTTATTCCTTCCTTATTCTTTTAATGACTTTAAAATAAAAACATTACAAATTAAACTTTTTTCCCCAAAACCAGTTATTGAAAGTAATTAACTAATAGATAAGTTGCACTAGCCAAACGATAAAATGGCTAAAATTAATTTATAGTTATTGGCAATAAAGGCATTGAGCTGCATTTAAATGGTTTATTACTTCCTTTTATTTGAAAAATAATCAAATGAATCGAGAAGAGGAGAACACATTTATAATGTTAACGCTTTTTAGCGCACCCGAGCTGAAAGTTCAAGTGAGCTTTTCTGATCACATTTTGTCTGTAGTCCGTCTGTCCGTCCGTCTGTCTGTAAACTTTTTCGACTTCTCAAAAACCACTGGGCCAATTTTTTAACCAAACTTGCCACAAAGCATCCTTGGATGAAGGGGATTCAAATTTGTTCAAATGAAGGACCGCACCTCAATTCAAGGGGAGATAATTATGAATTAATTAAAAATTAATCTTTTAAAAACCTTCTTCTCAAGAACCACTGGGCCAGGAAAGATAAAACTCATGTGGAAGCATTCTTAGGCATTCTTAGGTAGCGTAGATTCAAGTTTGTTCAAATCATGACCCCTGGGGGTTGGACAGGCCACAATGGCTGATCAAAGTTTTACATAGGATTATATAGGGAAATATTTTTAAAATCTTCTTTTCCAGAACCATTAGACCAGGAAAGATGAAACTCATGTGAAAGTATTTTCAGGTAGTGTAGATTAAAGTTTGATAAAATCATGATCCCCGGGGGTAGGGCGGGTACACAATGGCTATTCAAAGTTTTACATAGGAATATATAGAGAAGATCTTTTAAAAATCTTCTTCTCCAGAACCATTAGGCCAGGAAACTTTCATCAAGTGGAAGCATCCTCAGGTAGTGCATATTCAAGTTTGTTCAAATCATGATCCCCGGGGGAAGGGCGGGGCTACAATGAGAGATCAAAGTTTTGCATATTAAGAATATATAGGAAAAAATCTTTTTCCAGAAAAGTTTTGTTTAGTCAAATTTACATGTAAGCATCTGCAAGTAGTGATGAACTAAATTTATTCAAATAATGGGGGGGGGGGGGTAGTGAGGTGTCACAATGAGAGATCGAGTAATCTGTTGGAAAAATCTTTAACAAATCTTCTTTTCAAGTATGGCAAAATTATACATATATGTTTTATTGATATAGTGACATTCTCAAGTAATAAAAAATTCAAATCCCCCCTCCCCCAACAAGTAAGCTTTTCAATACTAACCTGATTTGTGATTTAACTAGGCAATGTGCTCAGGTGAGCGATGTGGTCCATGGGCCTCTTTGTTTGTTATGAACAGTGAAACTACACAGTCTTCCACAAGGAAACAAAGTACCAACACAGTAACATTGATGAGGAAACCTTCAGAGTTAGTATTTAACAAATGTTGCATTTATTGAACTTACCTCTAAGATATAATTTATAAACAGTGATAATTTTCCTAGGACTGAGAATGGAAGTTCTGGAACTGATGTTGGGATTGTGTTTGCTGTAGTGGTTGTAGTGCTGATTCTACTTATAACCATTGCTTTGGTTATTGTGTTTGTTTTGTATCGCCAAAACAAATTGCCAAGCCAGATGGAATCTTTTTTGACAGAACGCATTGAAGGTACCCAAAACTGTTTATGTAATAAAAAAAACCTTTATTTACAAGAATATACATCGAAATTAATATCTGTTATTAACTTTTTAGGAAGCAGAATTTTACATCGGTTTGGGAATGAAACTAGAAGGAACTGCATTTTAGAAGGTAGTGAAACTAATATTTCTAAAATTAGAGATATTTTGATGCAACGTCGTTTAAATTGTATAATTTCAGGTGTTAATTGAATCACTGAAACATTTTTTTCTCTTAAAAAAATTCCTGAAGATGCCTAAAACATTTTGGGAAGTGTTCAAGTAAAAGTAATTAATTTAGTTAAGGAAGATTTAAATGTAATATATATTTTCACAGAAAATTAAGATTTTAACAAACACAATTTTTTAATTATGTAGATAGAAGCAGGGATGAGAGAGAAATAATGTTAAATATACCAGCACAAATGATTCACACGGAGCATCGACCCGGTAATCTTTACCATTACTCCTGATTTGTTTACTTACATTACGATGGAATTTGTACATCAAGATACCTCCGAAATTGATTTTTAATGTCTCAGAGCGAGATTTTGAAACAAAGGTTATAGGATGGAGATAAGGGATTCACATAGGAGTATATTGGAACAAATCTTTACAAAATATGTGAAGAAACACAGGGTTGGAAAAGATGAAACCTGTCAATGGTTCCTATCTCAAAAAATGTAAAATTGCATTGGTGGGATGGGGGCAGGATTATCAAACATTTAAAGTTAGTGAAACCCTCATAGGCAAATTTATTAAATAACAAGTGGCCCAAGGGCCTTATAGGTCACCTGAGTATTGAGTAACAACTTTCAAACAATTAAATTTGGTTTGGGTTTTAAACCAGAGGCCATGAAATTCACAATTCACAATTTTGAAAGAGGCACCACTGCTTATCATAATTATAAACTTAGCATGCTTACTCTATTTACTTAATACGCAGAGGTAGATCACAGTAACAAAGAGAAAAATGCACTTCCACTTTATACCCAGTTGTGCACCTCCCTCCAAAGGAACCACTGACCCAGGGGCCACATATTTCAAAATTTTGCAAATTTTATCATAAAATGGTTGATTAAAACCAAAGAGCAGATTTCAAAGCATTAATTTATTTTCAGACTATGTAACCCCCCCCCCCAACCACCACCACACCACCACTCTGACCCAGGGGGCATAAAAAACCACTCTGCTAGATGCACCTTTCTTCATCATAAATATATATACTTGGATCACTGGCATAAAACCAAGAAGCAAAGGAACATATTTTCAAAGAATTAATGCATTTTCACAATATGATCCCCACCCTAACACCAGAACCCCTGACCCTGGGGCCATAAAATTAACAATTTTGTAAGAGGCACTCTTGCTTATCATGATGATGTACTTAGTAAGTTTTTTTTTTAATACGCAGAAGCAGAGAAGTAGATTTTCAAAGAATAAATGCACTTTCACTATATAATCAATAGAGCCCCGCCCTAACACCAGAACCCCTGACCCTGGGGCCATAAAATTCACATTTCAGAAGAGAGACTCTTGCTCATCATAACTATGTACTTAGTTAGTTGATATAATACCCAGGAGCAGAGAAGAAGATTTTCAAAGAATAAATGCACTTTCACTATATAATCAATAGAGCCCCGCCCTAACACCAGAACCCCTGACCCTGGGGCCATAAAATTCACATTTTAGAAGAGAGACTCTTGCTCATCATAACTATGTACTTAGTTAGTTGATATAATACCCAGGAGCAGAGAAGAAGATTTTCAAAGAAATAATGCATTTTCACTATATAACCTATTTAGCCCCACCCTAGCACTAGAATCCCTGACCTTGGGGCCATGAATTTCACAATTTTAGTAGAGGACTCAATGCTCATTACATTCATGCCAACAGTTTGCCTGCTTGATGTCCGGGAGTAAAGAAGAAGATTTTTAAAGATTGAAATAATCTTAGTGGTTTTGGCCCCACCCCTCATGCCCCAGGGGGGCGGGGACCATGAAATTCACAATTTTTGTTTCCCTTTACCCATAAATGCTGTATACCAAATTTGGTTGAAATTGGCTCAGTGGTTCCAGAGAAGAAGCTAAAAATGTTCAAAAGTTTACGAACGACGTACGACGTACGACACACGACGACGGACGAAAACAGATAGCAATAGGTTACCTGAGTTTACTCAGGTGACCTAAAAACAAGATGTGTTAGTGTAACATTGACATTCCTGTTTGACAGCTTTTGGCGAATGTAAAACTTTCTCAAATGCAAATCAAACACCAAAGTCAAAAGATATGTTTTATCCACAGAAAGGACTTGCCTCAACAATCACACCTATGAAATATGAGAGCTCAATCATTCACAAGTTACAGTTATGGTCAAGATTACATGTTTTAAAATGTTATTCTAACTTCAATACCAAAGGGTCAAATTCATTGTACCCATGGGAAGACTTTGTCATTAAAAATATACAGTACGTTAAAAATATTAAAGCTCTAGAGCAAACACAAAAGTTATGGCTAAGGTTATATTTTTCAAAGTAGGGCATGTTTTAAAGTCAATGTTTAAAATATTGGTACCCAAACAAAGGCCTTATCATGTAAGAAATATAAAGGCCCTGGTACTAATTGTTCAAAAATATTGCCAAGGTTAAATTCTAAGAAAAAAGGGGGATAAACTCATAATAAATAAACGAATGCAGTTTGAAATCCCTAACAATTAAAAATTAAACAATTTAAAAGTTATGAAATTTGAATTTTTTGGGCAAAATTGGGTTAAACTCCAAGTACTATGGCAAAAGGTTATAGACATTGGTACCTAAATAAAGGCCTTGTCACAGATAATTATATAATTATCTTGTCACTAGAATTATACATTTGAATATAAAAGTCATTGCTGCAACCAATCAAAAGTAATAGGCAAAGTTTAAGTTTTAGCAGACAAAGATACAGACAGATGGACAGGGCAAAAACTATATACCCCCGAATATTTGATTATGGGGGCATTAAATCGGCGGCTTGCTTATCACATTTTTCAATTTTCAATCAAGTTGTGTATAGATTCTTGTTAAACCTTTAATTGAAAGTTACAATAAATGTATAGAAAAGTTTTATAATTTTTATTGTAGAACTTCACTTGAAAAAGAAAAATATTGCTATAGTCAACAGACTTTCTGAAGTACATACCGGTAGTTGTACAGTATTATTAACTCAGAAACATCCTCAAGTGGTGTAGATTCAAGTTCTTTTTTTCAAATCGTGTTTTTGGAGGGTAGTGCAGGGCAACAAAAGAAGACCATGTAACTGTAAAGAAAACATTTTGAAAACTTCTAAAGCCATTATCAGTCAAAGATGCATGGAAACATTCTTAATAGATACTGTAATTTCTATTCAAGTCTAAACAAATTATGTCCCCTCCTTTCCCTTTGGGGTGGTTATTTGTGATCACATATATTTACAAGTAATCTTTTCAAAACATAATTAACTAATTTCTCCTTTTTCCTAGCTTATATGCCTAGTTGAACAATGTGTCCCATGGTCTCATTATTATACCCCCCGCTTGAAAAGCGGGAGGGTATATAGTAATCGTTAATTGCGTCCGTCTGTCCGTCCGTCCGTCTGTACGTCCGTCCGTCCGTCTGTTACGCTTTGGGGTACCCATCTCTTATCCGCAACTCCTCTTATACCACTGAATGAAATTTGATGAAACTTTCACAGAATATTTATTACATATTGCCATTGTGCACCTCCTATTTTACTTTTTGATCCGACACATATTTTGGGTTTCCCATAGCAAAACATAGACACTGCCATTTATACACATATGGGAGGCGGGGGGTATCATTTAGTGAGCCCATTGCTCACAGTACCTCTAGTTTACTTTTAATTTGCAGAGAAGCAGATTTTGATGCTCCAAAGGTATTTAACACGTATATTAAAATCTAAACTGAAGGTGACTGAGTTACAAGAAAATATAATTTTGTGTTCAAGATCTTTAAAAGAACATTTTAATGAATACCTTATTAAAGATCTGAATGATGTTAAGACTGAAGATGATTACGACAATTTATACATGAATTTAGTTTTTGCACTGTTGACAAACTTCTGTAAGGATATAAAACCACCAGGTATAGGCTGGGGTTATGAACCTCCAAAAAATGAAGACTCTGAAGGAGCTGACATTGAAAGGATTCGTTCAATGTGGAACAAATACTGCGACAATGACCACAACTATCCACAACTGGAGGACGTATATAATAGAATGTTTGAAAAACATGGGGAAATTCATGAGAGAAAATCAAGTAAGGAAGATGAAACAATTGAAGATGTGAGAACAAAATACAGAGGTAAAGTGTACGTATGTGTTTGTGTGTGTGCGTGTGTGTGAGGGTGTGTGTGTGTGTGTGAGAGAGAGGGTGTGTGTGTGTGGAGCTAAAATACCTGATAGTCAACGTAGAATATAATAGAACAAGAAAACATTGATGTAACCATCAATTGTGGCCCGGGAAATATATAAAAGTAAACAATGAAAATGAGTCTTGATCATCAAACCGCTTCGATATGAGTGAAAAGGCATGCGTCTAATTGATGGAGATGATAGTCGCGAATATATTGAAAACTTGTAGTCGGATAAAAATCAATCAAAAACGAAACTATTTTAAACTTGATCAATTCCCAAGTAAATGTTGGCTGCATGAAATATAAATTGAAGTAAGACACACGCATCACCTATATTTAAAAATGTATTAATTTTCAATGTTAGAATATGAAACACGAACTGTGCAGAGTACGTTTTTATCCGATAAGTAAAATTCGAAGTACTAAAAAAAGGGACCTGTCGTTTTTTCGATAGTAAATGATAAGCAACTTTATATACTAAATATGAAAAACATATATATTTTTACAGATTCACTTTATGGAAGTAAATATATTATGTATCTCATAA